GAAGAAGGGTCTAGGCCCAAAACATCAGCCTTCCTGCTCCTCTGCTGCTTGGCCTGCTGTGTTCATCCAGCTCTACATCCTGTTATGGCAGATTCTCCAGCATCTGCAGTTCCTACTATCTCCCTTCTGTGCAAACTGATTCTTGGTGTATCAGGTGTTGACTAGCATTGGTCTTTGACTAAGTTCTGGGATCTCACCATTGTGGTCTTTAGTTCATTACAGTCTGTTGATCCAGGATGCAAAGCTTGCAACACCTTCATTCTGACTCTCTCTCCCCTCTGCCTCCAGTTCTCCACAATGCCGTATTTGTGCACTAAGAGCACTAGAATGTGTCATGGCCCTTTTGGATGCATTTCAACTGTTTGTTCACAGATCCCATCCCTCTATTGAGGCTGAGGACCAGATTGGAGGACAATTGAGGCAAAGTAAAGATTAAATTTACAAGGTGGCTTTTTGTATTTAAATAGTTCAGACACCAATGCCAGAAGACTTGAGGTCCCCAATTCACTAACTTTCTCACCAAGTAACAAACCTTGAGGCTCTGGCCCACTTTATTTCTATATAGTCACAATCCTAGCCTTCTCAAAGGCTTCTGCATTCTGAAATTCTCAGCATGAGGCAACTCCCCACCCCAGTGGGGGCAAGACTACATTCAGTCCATGATAGATCACTAAATCCAAGGCTAGGCAAGAGTGAGCTCCCCCAGAATGATCTGGTCCTGAAAACCAGTAAGCTGCAGTTTTAACACCTAGACCTCTTGGCTTGCCAAGCCAAATTTAAATTTTAGTAGGGATCAGCCACAATCTCCTGAAACAGTAGGACTAATTAAAGCTATTAAACCCACTTTCCCAAACCCTTAATGCAACTGCCACCACAACTAGTGTTGGTGACCAGTTTTAATCTATTCTTGTAGAGTAGAATCCCTACAGGGCAGAGGCCACTTGGCCCTGTGTACCACACCTCTCCTTTTGAGGTGTATACCATCCATGTGCACCCCCTACCTATCCTGTAACCCAGGACTTCTGTCATCCAACTGACCTACATGTTCCTAGATAACTTTCCATGGTCAATCTGCATCTCCCTCCTATGGGAGGAAACCAACATGCACAGATGTGTAGAGTTGGCCCAGTTGCCTGGGGCTAGAATTGAACCATTGTACCACCTAGAGCAGATGGAACTCAGTACACCTGAAAAATCAGTACTATTGTTATGAAGTTTCTGCTAAAAGAATCTGATATTTTTTCCAATGACTGAGGCTAAGCAATAACAAGGTTTCACAAGCTGGACTCTGATCTGTGATCCCCTTGTCTGTAAACAAGTCTGAACGCACTGCCCTCCTGTAAGTACACCTATTGCTAGGCACTCTGACATGGAACAGAAAGCTCTCTGCCAAGTGTACTCATCCACCTAATGAGCAATCTGAGCTAACAAAGCCACTTACAATGCTAATGAATTTACAAATAACTTTTGTTGTTTTTGCTTGTTTTCTACCAGCTGCCTAATAGTTTAGAACCAGGCCATAGCTAGTCAGATTAAGGATTCTGGCATGTCTAGGGCCAGTGGGGACACTACCACTGTACTGTAGCATTTGTATTTCCTTGTATAATACACTTCTTGGGGAAAAAACCAAACTGGGTCATTAATCACCACTAGATAGCAGATTTTGCTCACTTTACCTAGTCTGGCCTATGTGACTCCTGTCCACAAGCAGCAATAAGTGCTGAATTAATACTATCCCCTTCATAGCTTCAGTAAGCTAATGAACTCACTAATCAACACTTGCTTCTACCATGACCCCCCCACAGCCTGTGCAGTTAGCAGTAGTCAATGTAAAACGCTCCTGTTTTTGCCCACTTTAGCAAAAAAGTGATTGAATATTGGCCAAGATGTAGATCCACCCCTACCTGACCAAGTCCTGTTTCATCTACCAGTTAATGGTACAACTTGACACATTTCCAGTGAAACCTGACTCCATGTTCCATTTCTTAACATAAGACAAATGTGTACAATCTACAGGAATGTAACCTATGCTATAGGTCAATCTTTCTAAATTAGTCACTAAACAGGTTGCACTTGACTCTAATCTTCTAAATTCTCAACCAGAAGTTGTTCTCTACAGTCCTATTTAAAATTCTCTGGACTAGAAACTTGTTTGGAGTCCTTGACATGCTCCCCTCACCTGAGCATTCTCCAGTTAAATAACCTATAGATATCCACACAACTTAAGTTTAAATCTTGTCAAATTAAGACTTGGCATTTGAAGCCATTGGCAAGAACTAAACTTGCCTAACTATATTGAAATTAACTTGCTTTCCAAGCAATCCTGGCATGGTTACTGTATCAAACCAACAATATAAGCACTTTGGCACAAGTCCCATAGTCATCACTTCAAATGCTGGATTTGAGTTACTTCTCTAGTTGCTTCAGTCCCTCTCCAGAAGCAGCACCCTACTTCTAATTTGAAATTCCCCCCAGTATTAAACTGCACTTTCTTGCCACCTTTCACTTTTGTTAAACAATGCAGTGTAGGCAGTTTATTGCAGAGTACTCAAATGGAGTTTAAAACAGTTGGATGGCTTGTGCTCCCAGTCTGGTTTCTATAACCTTGTATGCCTTCTCCTTACAGGCTGGATTGATGTCTTGATTGACTCAACCAACTTTAGGCCACATTATTGAGGGCAAAAGAACTTTCAGTAACTTTGGAATTTGAGTGAAGATGGCAACCATGTCTGAAGCCACTGAGAACAACAGTCCCAGCCAACTGGAGACTTCACCTACAAAGGGATCAAAGAAGGATAAAAAAAGAGGTATGTGATAGACTCCAATCACTTGCTCAAAAAACAGCTTACACAGAATAAAACCTGGCAGAACCTTGGGCCAAATTTGGTTTCCCTAGATCATTCAGGCCCTTGCACAATCTGAATTGCCTCATGGAAAGTGGTTAGTCATGGCTCAGCCCTGTAACTGTTCTGAAAAATGGGCACTTGAGGATTGTGCTGTTCCTTGCATCTCTACCCACTATCTTAATTTCTCTTCAGTCCAGGTGCTGTTCACTAATGGACTTAATTTTTGTCCTTACTTATCCAAACCATCTCTTAAAGAGATCATAGGAAAAAGGGTCCAGACCAAAATGTCAGCTTGCCTGCTGTGTTCATCCAGCTCTACACCTTTGTTATCACCATCTCCCAGAGGTTTCCTCAGCTGTTTCCAAGGAAAACAAGCCTGCATCCTCCAACCTAATGTCTCAAGTGTCAGTTTTCCAAGTTACCTACTGGATCCAGGCTAACATGGGGCACACTTTTGTATGACACAGATGACAACTTGTCTCAATCTAACCATAAGCAACTATAAAAGTTTCTAACTGGTAGAGTTAAAATTTTACCCTCAAAGCCCCACACTTTGTAGACTCACAGGCACAGCCATCTTTGTGAATAGAGAACAAACACCCCCAGTTCCACAAGATTGGCTAAGTTGATCCTGGCTTGTCAAGACTTGCCATTCCCCTCTGCAATACTTCAGGAAGCTCCTTAACCCAACCATCTGCTTCAATGACTTTGATCTAAAGTGTGATCCAATAATCAGTCTGGCACCACTTAAAGAATAAGACTGAAAAGTGTAAACTAAGCTTCAGTGCAAATCTTAGCTGCAACTTGTCAGCAAGTCAGTCTCCTTACTGACCCAGGAGTTGTGGGTTCATACTCCAATGGTGTATCATTCCAGTGCTGGTCTTTAAATCCAGCAAAAAGACTTTAAGTATCACTCCCTACCATCCAATGGCACTGCCACCAACTATGGCAATCTGGCAACCCCCCCAAATTGCCAGATCTCCATACCAGGGCTGTTTGAAAGAAAATACTTGCTACAGTAAGCAACTCCCTCCACCTGACCCCTCTTCCTCCCAAGCCTGTCCATCTACAAAGCACAGGTCAGGGGATGAGGTATATTCCCTACCTCCCTAGGTGGGGGCAGCTCCAACAAAAGCTTGACACTATCCGGGATGAAGCAACCTGTTTATTGGTACCGGGACAGGTGGCTCAGTTCAGTTGCTTTGTACCACTCAACATTCTGCTCTTGTCTACAAGATGTACTTAAATCTAACATAGACAGCACCTCCTAAGCCCATAACCATCACCTAGAAGGATAAGTGCAGCAGATACATGAGAACACCCCCTGGCAAGTTAACCTCCAAGCCACTTACCATCCTGACTTGGAAACATTACTGCCATTACTTCAGTATTCCAAGTTCCAATTTTCACCTAAATTGGTTTAATGCCAAGTCACGCCCTACTCTCTTTGAGAACACAGCATCATGTGCTGACTGGCCTGAGGTTGTGGCCATTTAGAGCTGCAGTTATTGTCCTTTAGGACAGCTCTGCTGGACAGACCCAACCTTTATCACAAAGGACTTCAGTTCCAGGGGATGAGAGCATGAGGAAAGCAGACCAGGGTGAACAGCTGAATCTAGGGGTAAAAGGTCACTCAGTGATCCAGGCTTGGCTGTTCACTACTTTGTTTTCAGACTGAGTAATGGCTGCCTTAAGTAGTTACTATAATTAGCCATCTCAGGTAGAATGAGACTAGAATTTGACCAGGCTCAGTTCCTAGATGTATTCCATCTTTGAATAGGAAAGCTCCATTAGAATGCATTTAACTATGGAAATCTGGCTCTTCCAGTCTCCACTATAGACAAGAAGTTTTTCAGCTGGCAGCTCCTGATTTTCCTACATTGAGACACTGTTCTGCCTCAATGATGCTGGGAGTGTCAGCCTGTTTTTAGGGACCTGGTATCTCCTCCAGCTGAGGACTACACAGGAGTAGGGTGGCCACAGGACACAATGCAGCAATCCCATAGCCACTTCCCCCTCAACGTCTATACTTTAGCTGGTAAGCAGCAGTTGAGTATCTAAACTTTTGTACCACAGCTGGACCAGCTGTGAGGTATAAGTCAGTCAGGGGCCATGGTTAGGTCACCAGCCTTGTGGCTACAAGCAAGACTCGGGATGGTGTTATATCCTTGACCTTGGCACTAGGGAGGTAACTGAGGCACAAGACCTCCTGAAGTCAGGGAGAGGGTGAGCAGACAGGTTGTAGTCCATATTGGTACTAACAGGAGATGAAGTCTTGCAAGACTTGGGTTAAGTAAGAAGCTGTCAAATACAACCTTGAGGGTTGTAAATCACAGCACAAATGGACCCTCTGGCCCAACTCCTCCACACAGATATCTAATCTGACCTGTGGCCATATGACAGCATCTCACCTATATTCTCTCATTCATAAATGTACCTGCCCCTCCCACTTATGACAGCTCATTCCACATAAAAGCAACCTGTAGGAAAATTTCCCCAGGTCCCTTTTAATCTTTCCCCTCTCCTTAAAGGAGAGCTTAGGTTTTTGGAATCCCCACCCTCCGAAGGACTTTGCACATTAACCCTATCCATGCCCATCTCAAACCTAAAGTCAGCCCCCCTCAGTGCTCAGGGCAGGGGAAGGAGGGAAGAGCCTAGCCCAGTCTCCAGCTCAAACCCTGCAGTCCCAGCAACCTCCAATCTTTTCTGCACCTGCTTAACTGCCTCTCTATAGAAAGGATGCTTCCAAATGGAATGCAATATTTCCAAAATTGGTTCAGAGATAGTAGGAACTGCAGATGCTAGAGAATGAGATAACAAGGTATAGAGCTGGATGAACACAGCAGGCCAAGCAAGAAGGCTGACCTTTCAGGAAGAAGGGTCTAGGCCCAAAACATCAGCTTTCCTGCTGCTTGGCCTGCTGTTCATCCAGTTCTATACCTTGTTCCAAAATTGGCCTTGTCAAACCTTGTACAACTAAACAGTTGACTTTTGACTAATCAAAGCAACATACCAAATACCACCTTGACTACCATGTCTACCTGCAAGTTCACTTGAACTATGGACCTGCACTCTAGGCCCTTGCTCAGCAGCACTCCCTTGGGCCTGACCATTAAGTGTACAAAGTCCTACCATAGGGAGGCTTGTCTCCAATACAAACAGATCTAAAACTATCTGGCACTCCTTGGCCCATCCCTGTATTTGCATCCAAATCACTTATAAATGACAAAGCAGTAGACCCAGCACCAATCCTGTAGCCTCTTAGAAGGTGAATGGGAGGAGATGGTGGCTGGGAACTGCTTAAGGTTTTTAACTCCATTGGATCACTCTGCCTTGGGGCAGTAATTAATTGACTAATTGGTCTCATTCCCACTGCCCTGCTACACTGGTTTAAACTTGGATTTCTGAAGGGTCCAGACCCAAAACATCAGCTTTCTTGCTGCTTGGCCTACTGTGTTCATCCAGCTCCACTCCTTGTTATGAGGCAGTAACTGTTGTCTTCAAGTCTTTTTTGCATTGTTTTAATAGTAACTTTAACTTCCTGCAGCATGTGCCAGTGATCCAAGGAAGATTGGCTATATCTACCTGTACTAAGAGCTGCTTAGGAGGGAGGGGCTCTGTGCAGGTAGGATCTGTACAAGACAAGCTGTCCCAAACTAAAAGGACATCAACCTCCTAGGAAGGAGGCTAGCTAGTGCCACTCAAGTTTAAACCAGTGTGGCAGAGTGGGAACCAGAACAATTTATCAAGTGAAGTGACCTAGTCTGGCTCCTGCTAAGGAAGTCCAGGACTAGTGGCTTGAGGTCATGTCATGAGTATGACTAGTAAGGCAGAACCTTGAGTTGGGAGTAATACATTAATGGCCATATCTCCCTCCTTTTTGAGGGATAAGACTCTCTGATTAATGCTCTGGGATTTGGATGCCTGAGGTTGGGATCCCTACTGATAAGTGACTCACTTGTCACCAGACACTTAGATGTGGGTGGGAAGTCAAAGTATCCAGGACAATTTGGAAACAATACCTAAATTCTCCAACTGGAGAAGGAACAAGACTAGAGCTGATATTAGGAATGAGTCCAGCCAAGTGTTTGACATTTCAGTGCAGGAGCATTTTGGGAACTGGCATTCCTCTAGTTCCTTTCTACTTCTAAAGGACAGCCACTCAAGGATGACTAACTACCATAATGTTGAGTTTTAAACTAGGTTCAGCTATTTGGGGGTAAAGCCACATCTAGCAAATGGGAACCTTCCAAAGAGCTGATTAGGGTTCAGGACTAGCATTTCCTGTTGAAATTCAAAAGACTAAGTTTTTTGAATCTTGAGAAATTGAGCTTGGTAAAGGAGACCTACCTAAAATTTGGGAAACTGAAGACAGTCCTCAAGAATAAAAATAGCAGGGAAGAACTCAAGAATTAGAGGGCTGAAACAGCAGAATGTCTCTTGCAAACAGGATTAAGGAAATTAGAAAGGGTAGGTCTAATGGAAGGCATTTGGGCATGGAGGCAGTGGGTGAAGTCCTAGTTGACAACTTTTCCTCAAGTGGTGGATGGGAGTTTGTTCTAGGGCATGTCAATATAATACAGAACACCCAATGCTTAAGATAGCTAAGATCTGATAGCATTCTCCCAGAATGCTAAGGGAGGCCAGTGAGGAAATTGCTGGGGCTTTCTACAAAATCTTCAGGACCTCAACTAGAGGATACTGAGCTGAAGGCAACAGGGATAATCTAGGAAATGAAACCACTGAGCCGTATGTCAGTGGTAGGGAAATCATTGGAACAAACTTAAAGGATAGGATTTACTCCTAGGAAATGCAATAGGCTTTGAAGGTTTTGCCTCAATCTATTTCACTTTGAGGAAGTGATAGTTGACAGGGCACGTGGATGATGTCTGGATGGACTTTTGCAAGCCTCTGATACAAAAGGCAGGTCACATGGTCTGCAGTTAGCTGTTAAGATGTTGACCACTGTCACAGTAGTGGTTGAAGGGTCTCTTTCTGACTTGTGACCTCCTTCTCAAAACCATATTTGGAAACAATAGGTAGCCTGAAGTGTGTAGATAAGATTAGAGGATATAGCAGGATAGGGGCTAGAGACTTGGGCAGAGAAACATCCAGGTTAAACACCATCTGCCAAAAGATTGATCCTGCATTAGATCTCAAAGTGTACCATAACTGGCAGAACCCTTGGAAGCACTCCCATTGAGGGATCTAGGCATACAAGGCCCCCCCACTAGAAGTGGTGACATCAGTGGATAAAGTAGTGAAGGTGTACAGCTTGCTTTCAGTCAGGGTGCAGCATAATTCAGCATTTTCTTTACACTGTACAAAACAAGAGTATTCCAGTTGCCACATTTAGCTTGTTTCACTTGAATGTTGGCCAAATCTACATCAGTGAGACCAAGTGGAGGCTCAGACTGCTTTGTGGAACACCTACACTCTGTTCATGGCAACACCTTCCAGTCATGAACTACTTCAACTCCCTCCTCCCACTCCCTGGATGACATGTCCATCCTAGGCTGCCTCCGGTGTCATAATGACACCACCCACAAACTGGATGAGCAGTGCCTCAGGAGCCTACAGGCCAATGGCCTAAGTGTGGATTTTACCAGTTTTAAAATCTCCCCAGCCTCATCCATGACTGACCAACCCTCCCCATCTCCCACCACCTTGACTTGACACAACCTGTCTATCTTCCCTCCCACCTATACCCTCCACCCACCTCACTGACCAATCCCCACCACTGCCTACCTGCACTCATCACCATACCACCTACCTTCCCCTT